GACAGACAATAACTTAGGGATAGGAAAAACGGGAATTACTGCTAACAACTTCCTTTTGGGGTGATGAGAATATTTTGGAATTATAGATAGTGGAGACGTCTGCATGGCTTTGTGTATTCCCTGGTCACAGAACCTGTATACTCAAAAGGATAGTACTGAGTGATATCTAAGTGACAGGGGAAAGAGGTCTATCTTTAGAAAGAGATTGCTAATATTATGTAATAGTTTGCCTTATCAGTCAAAGAGGAAAGTAAGGACATTAAGGTAATTCTGCCAACAGTTCTTGATAACAAGACGGCTGGAATTATATTTTAAATTGTTTTTTCAGGGTAGAAGTCTGGAAATGTAAGAGGTTGTCGATCAAAGGCCTTATTTTCTTTCTTTCTTTCTTTTTTTTTTTTTAGTAGTGGGAATCAAATTCAGGACCTTGCACTTGCCAGACAGGCGCTGTGCCGCTAAGTTGTATGCCCGCCCCTAAAGGCCCTGTTTTCAAAGAGCTCAAAAAGAAACTATGTACACAGACAATTAATAACCAGTGGAAGCTGGGCATGGTAGCACACACCTACAATCCCAGCACCCTGGAAGACGATGCAGGATGACTGTGGTTGCCACAGGAGGTTGCAAGTTCAAGCCCAGCCTGGGCAATTTAGGGACAGCAAGATTCCTACTTCAAAATAAAAAACAGAAAGGACTGGAATATGGCACATTATGAAGGCCCTGACTTCAATCCCCAGTACCAAACTAAAGAATAACCAATAAGAAAGGAATATACAGTAAGACACTGGTTCCGTAAGGGATCACAGTCACCCCTTTAGCTGTCTGCAGGCTCCAGTGGCAGGTGAAGCCTGACCTGGAGTCAAGCACAGCTAATATCACCCATGGGCATCCCGGGGCCAAATGATAAGGAAACACAGAAACCAAACATGTTCTTCAAAGCTTCATTTCCATACCCTGCAGGCCCCAGGCCCAACGCGATCTTCACACAGTCTCTGTGTCCTTCCCTGGCCCAAGGAGGGGAAGCAGCAAGAACAAAAGATGGAAAATGACAAAAGAAGGAAAGATCACCAATTCCTTCTGGGAGATTGATGCATTCATTTATATTTTACCTTAAAATGCACATCATGTTACTTCCTATTTTAAAACCTACCTGAGGTCATCAAAAAACAAAACAAACAAACAAACAAAAAAAACAAACAGAAGTGCCTACCTGCCAACTATCTGTAGTGAAATGTACACTTCCTTTCCATCCAGGCCCTGCCCACTGGCACCTTGAATCCCTCTCCCTGACTGACCCAAGCTCTCTGCCACCCCAGTACCTGCTCTCACCTCCACCACCCTGTTCAGCTCAAATAGCTTCTCAGATAAATATCCAGGGAGCCTTGCCAGGGCCAGGGCCACACAACTTGTAACCCCAGCATTCTGGGATGTTGAGATCACAAGTCTGAACCTAGCCTGGGCAACTTAATGACTTAGTAAGACCCTGTCTCACAATCAAAAGGGGAGGGGGCAGGGTATAGCTTGGCGGCATGGTGCCTGCTGACAAGTGTGAAGTCCTGAGTTCAAGTCCTGGTGCCAAAAAAAAAAAAAAAAGGCAGGAGCTAGAGAAGTAGCTCAGTGCAAAGCTCTGGGTTTGGGCTCCAGTGTCTGTCATTCTGTCTGTCTCTGTCTCTCAGAATTACCAAAGAGAGTCATTCCTATTATTCTCTACCACACAGCTGCCTGTTTTTCTTCTGGCTGCTTCCCACACTGTCACTGCTTTACCTACTTCCTGCTTTCCAGGCAGACTGAGGCAAGAAGACAGCCAAAAGTCTGAGTCCATCCTAAGCTATGTAAAGGATTCAAGGCCAGCCTAGCTACAAAACGAGATCTTGTCTCAAAAAAAAGAGAAAACTTTAAAAAAAAATCCAAACTCAGATCTATTATAGAAAAATGAATGGGAACAGCATTGAGATTCTTTACAACTTCTCAAATGACTCCAGTGGACAGCCAAACTGAAGAACTACTATATTTGAGAAAAGTCACAAGTACGTAGAGATCAGGCTGGGTATGGTGGCACACGTCTGTTACTAGCACTTAGGAGACTGAGGCATGAGGATTAGTATGACTTTGAGTTTGAGGCCAGTCTGGGCTACAAAGCAAGTTCAAAGCCAGCCTGACAGGCATAGCAAAACTCTGTCTCAAAAACTTTTTTTTTCCTTTTTTTTTTTTAGTACTGGGGATTGAACTCATGACCTCATGCTTGCTGGGAAGACACTTATGCTGCTGAACTAAATTCCCAGCCTCAAAAAGATTTAAAAAAAAAATCTAGAGACCAATCTTCTCTTAACTACTTATGGCCACAGAATTCAATATTAATCTTAAAGATAAGAGTTGAATGTACCAAAAGGAAACATCCTATAAATAAATAGTACTCCAGAGATGCTCATTATGTATAATTTCCTGAATTATTGCTCAAACCAATAAATGCCCTTTATTGCAATTTTAAGTTTTCCAGTTCCTATTAAGGTATATTACAAATATCACTACGTTGCAGAGTATTTCAAACGAAAAGTGTATAGACTTAGTGAACCCAATTCTAACATAAGTAATCTACCTCCTTGCTTACTCAGAAATACAACCATCTCTACTGTTTCACCGAATTTTCAGCAAGAGACAAGAAACATTATGCTTCTCATAAGTAAAAACAGCCAATAATATCCAGGTGATTTCGCAGAAAATGAATAAATGAATGAGCGACTACAGGCAAATGATAAAGCTAAAATAGGTTGGCTTGAAAACACTTTAAAATATGGCTAAAGGGGGAGCAAAAGGGAGATAAAAAAGAAATAAGATGTGTAATGTATGTGTCCCCAATACCCACAGAGAAAGTATTCATGTATTAATAATAGTAGTCATGTAGTAATAAATAGTAAACATGTACTAAGAAATAAGTTTTGTAAAATATGGCTAAAATTGGTCCCTGCTAGAATTAATCTACTTTTGACCACGGAGAAACATCTTACAGTTCTGTCTCTATCACTGGTCACATCTGCTGTCATACATACACAAATCCACAAGTCCCATCTAGAAAGAGATTTTTAACTTTCTTACAGCCCATAAGATAATCTAATCATGCCAGCAAAGGTTTCTCATATGAGTACGTACCAAATGGCTCTGATGTAGAAAAAGTTTATGATGTTATTTTTAAAAATTTGTGTCCTTAAACCAGAAAAAAAAAATGTGTCCTTCACAGGTTTAGTATCAATCCAAAAAGCACTTATGAAACTGCCATTCAAGATGAGATCAACAAAATGGAAATCATACACTTGAAAAATGCTTCAGAACTCTCCTTTTTAAACAAGTCAATAGAATGCATGAAGACAAGGAGAAAAGCAATGGAGTGCACAATGGGTTATTTTGTTACTGCAGAAGCTGTGTTTATTTTGAAAACATTCTGCAGTTTTCAAAGCTTTGGAATTAGGATTGCGTGTAAAATTCAATGGCCCATCTGTGAGTGTATTAAATGTTCACGGAAGGATACTATTCTTGTGCCTTTGTCTGGCTGCCTTCAGGATCTCTGGTGTACAGGTAAAACCCAGATGGTGTGTGAACAGGTAATGCTCAGGACGATGAGCATTCTTCTCAACTTGAAAAATGAGGAAGAATGTCATTTCACAAGCAAGTTCCTATACTTTCTGCAGTATGACTACGTATCCATTCAAGGTCAATAAAGTAACAGCTACCCATGCAATTGCAATTGTTCAAATCATAACATCTTCCAAACTGTTTCCTTCCATGCGGTCATAGGTTAAATTCTAGTTTAACAAGTGATAGATACAAGGTATAAAGATACACTGTTTTAGCTCCCAATTAAAAATATTTTATTTTATTCCTAAACTTGAAGAAAGTTTGAAGCCAGAAATCAAGTGAATGATACCCAGCAGCATCCTTGGAGAATAAAAAACTCACTTGTGGGGAAGAATAATTACTATTTGAACAAATGGAAATAAGAAACTGTAGAATATTTTCGAAATGAACACATTACAAAAACCTCATCCTAATCTTGTAGTATTTATTCTGAATTCAATTCAATAACCAAGAGGCTATTTACCAATACATTTTATAAGATCTGTCAGAGTTGGTGTTTCCCAAATTTGCCAACAGTAAGTAGTTTTTTTTGTACTAGGGATTGAACTCGAGACCTCACGCTTGCCAGGCAGGCGCTTATGCCGCTGAGCTAACCCCCAGCAAAGGAGTTCCTGGTTTTGTTGTTGTTGCTGTTTTTGGTACTGTGATCGAATGCACCACCTTGCACTTGCTTATACTGCTGAGCTAAATCCCCGGCTCTAACTAGCCTGTTTTGTTTTGTTACTGGGGATCGAACTCTGGACCTCATGCCCTCATGCTTGCCAGGCAGGCGCTATGCAACTGAGATATATCCCTGGCCCCAACTGGCCTTTTTAAAAACAACAGTCAAAATTCTTCCTCTTACTGGCATAGTAATTGGTGTCTGTACTCTCAACACTGTGGGAGAATCACCAGTTTGAGGCCAAGGTAGACAAATCATTCACTTAGCAAGACCTTGTCTCAAAATTTATACAAAAGGTAAAGAGCGAAAGATGCAGAAATGTGAAAGCCCTTGGTTCAGTCCTTAGTACAAGGGGAGGAGTTCTCTGAATTACCGAAATCCTAGGTGATAGGGATTTTACTGTCTGCATGTACCAACACATGGTGAACCACCCACGGGAATAATCGCTGGGAAGAAGCAATCAGCTCTCTGGACCTTTTGAGATCTCCCTACCAACAGATGCCTGAGCTGGAAGATTCTCATTCGTGCATCCAAGAGAAGGTGCACAGCAGACAGTTAACAATGAATACCTTTCAGCTGGTCATAAGGTCCTGCGTCAAGTGCGCGACCTTAAGCGGCTGGCACCGCCCTCACGGGGTGAGTGGGGGACAAGCAGGCCTAGACCAGCAAAGCGGGGAGAAGGAGAAGGGGCGGTCGCCGGGAAGCCACTTACGAGATGTAGGCTGGATAGCCAAATCCTATCAGGTTGCAGAGAAGAGAGGCTCCATAACCAAACACCAGGTACAAGGCCAGCAGCCCGATGACACCTGGGGATACAAGAGCAGAAATGGATCGGGGGGTCGGGGGCCGGGGCCCCCAGGGGAGCCCCGCCCACCCACGGGCTCGACCTGTCCGGGGCGTTTTCCTCCTCCCTGGGTGAAAGAGGGAAAAACCACAGGGAGGCTGGGCCTGCGACGGTTCTGGGGAAACTGCAGCTTCCACCCTGTGCCTTCCCCTCGGGCGGGTCCGCAGCGCCCGAGACCGTGGCACAGCCCGCAGCCTCTTCCCGGAAGTGCTGGGGAACTAAAGGACGGAGGGACAGACTGACAGAGACAGACAGAAAGACACGTCAGCGCGGCCCGCCACGCCGCGCCCCGGGCCCCGTCTCCGCCGGCCTCACGCGCCCAGCCCCGCCCCGACCGCGCCCGCGCGAGCACTCTCCCCGCGTCCTGCCCTGCAGCGCGCGCCGCGGCGGCCCCGGACCCGGCCACGCACCGAGCGCGATGAAGCTCCGGTTCACGCCGGTCTTGGCCTCGAGCTTGGCCAGGAGGTCAGTCATGCAGTTCTTCTCGTGCAGGAACCGGTCGAACCGTTCTCTCATGGCTGCAGACATGGCGAGGATCTCCTCGCCGGGAGCTGCCTGGACGCGGAAGCTGAGGACTGAGGCGAAGACCGCGGCGCAGCTGCTCCGCTGGGGCTGTGCACCGGCCCGCCAGGCCACGCCCAGGCCACGCCCCCGCCGTGGGCCACGCCCCTTCTCGCGGGGTTCCTACTGCCCTCTCCGCCGCCCCCCTCCTCCCCCTCCCCCCTCCCCCGCCTGCGCCTGCCCGGGGCGGCTGCGAGGTGGCTGGCTACAGTAACCCTAAGCCTTTTGCACGTTTAAAAAAAGGAAAGGCGTATATTTTGTGCCTTTTGTGGGCTTCTTTCTCAACTCGTCTGGTAGAAAAACATGGGGGAAGACGTGCTTGTTGCTCCCGCCTGCAATTTAGTGGGGCTGGTTTGGTGACCCATACAGTTGTGCCAAACCTGGTAAGGCGTTTTTAATCTAAATATGGAAACGTGTGACCAGGCTAAAAGGACGCTGTGGACGCAGGCCTGGCTTGTCCCGGTGCAGGCCCCAGCCAGCCTGCTCCGGGTCGTCTCCAGCGCACCGTACCCGGCACTCGTCTTGCCCGAGCGCCGTCAATCAGGGAGAAACGTTTCCAAAACTCTGTGCAGTCGAGAGCCCGCACTGCCTCCACACAGAAGCACCCTGAAGAAGAGAGGGACTGGAAAGGCTCGGGCTCGACCACCCTCTTCTTTCTGCACCTGCACTCAGGCTTTGCGGGCTCGCCTCCGTGTCGTCTCGGGATGCGCCTTGGGATCACGCTGGTCCCTGCTCTGCACACTGCTGCCGAGCTTTCCTCATTGCGTAAGGCTCAAGGCTCCGCAGTACTGGCATCCAGGGCTCCAGCTTCTCGGTAGCATTCAGGACCTTGTGCACAGACTGGCCCAACCCTCTTCCTTGTCCTCCACAACCCCTCGCTGTCAAACTGATGTAATTACCGCACTGCCTTCCATTTCTGAAAAATAAAATAAAATAATCTTGCTCACTCGTAGCTTTTTCTTTTTTTTTCTCTCTCTTTTTGCAAATTTTTCTTCCTTCCTTCTTCCCAGGAGCATCTTAGGTCAGCTTTCTCGGTTGCCCCCACCAGGCAAACCTGTGAACAAATCGGACTGCAGAGAAAGTGAATGGCATTACGGGGGCAGCCTCCCAGCCTGGCGGCCTGTTTCGGTCTTTTCACCTACAGTTGATTCTCTGTGTGACCATCAGAGGATCTTTTTCCAGCGTGGGTCGGACTGCGCTGTCTTTGCTCTTGACTCTCCATCTGCTTCCTTCCCATCTGTCTGAAGAACAGCCTCCAGGTCACAGGGATGTGGCTCATCCTCTCCCTGGTCCACCTGCTACGGCCTGCCTTCTTGATGTGCCTGTGACAAGCAAAGCCACACCTAACTCTCTCTGGGCTCTCACTTTTCTTTCTCCGTGGTCGTCCCAGGAGAAAGTGTCTTAAGTCACTTTCGTTGTCAGGAGAATGCTGATGCAAGGGACAGTCCCACAACAAACAGTTATCCAGCCCCAAACCTCAAGAGTGCTGAGGTCTAAAAGCTCTTCGCCACCTGCAAAACGCTTTCTCCACTATCAGATCTTCTTCAAGTGGTGTGGCTAATCCCAAACTGCAAACCACAGCAGTCTCTGGCCCTTGTCTCTCTTGACTGCTCCATAGCACTGACCACAGCCTGGTAGTCTGTGTGTCCTACATTTTTGTCTTTCTTCTCTGGTCTATAAGCTCCATCAAGCTGGGTATTTTTCTCTGTTTTTCTTGCTTTGGTATTTCAAGCACCTCAAACAGTGCCTATCACGAGGTGTTCAATAATTTTTTAAATGAATAACTCTCATGTATGGCTCCACAGAGTGTTCTAAGTGCGTGTGGACAATGTGAGTCTTCACAACAGCTGGAGGAAGATGCTTCCTGTATTAACCTCACTTAAAGGTAGGAAATGAGGTACAGCAAGGTCACAGAGAGCTAGAATTCCAACCCAGGTTCTGGATTCTGTATAGTTTGCTCTATAGGCTAAATTGTGCTCTTCCCATGGGAGAAAATACAGTGCATTAGAGTTCTGACTCCCAGTATTTCATAATTGATCTTATTTGGAGATAGGGTCTTCAACTTAAAATGAGGTTAGCAGGATGGGTGAAATCTAATATGATACTGTCTATTGTGGCTTATATCTGGATGACCCCTCATAGCCTCTTGTGCTCATAGGTGGGACTTTTGGGAGGTTACTGGATCGTGGGTGCACAATAGCTAGATTAGCCTTACTTCGATGAGAGTAGCTCTGCCTAAGGCAGAGGGTTTACTGAAGACAGAAAGCCCTGCTGCATGTGAGTGGCAGCAACCAATAACTAGGCTTGATTCTGGATGGAATAAAAAGGTAATGAGAGAAGGAAAGCTGCTGCTTGCTGCTTCTTGTCTGCCAAGCCATGAACTGTTTCTCCTCTGTAATGCCCCTGCCATGCTGCCCTGCCTTGCAGCCAGCTGATTACACACCGAAATGTCTAAAATCCATGAACTAAAATAAGTTGTTCTTCCTTTAACTCTGGGTGCCAGGTATTTTGTCCTAGCAAAGACAAAAAGAACCAAGAGAATATCCTTATGCAAATGAGAAATCTGAACTCAGATACAGAGAGACACGGATGGAAGATGATGTGAGGAGACACAGGGAGAAGATGGTCCCACAAGCAAAGGAAGAAAGCCTCAAACAGGCCCTTGGTATATAGGCCTCAGAAGCTGTCAGCCTTGCTGACACCTTGTCCTGTTCTTTTTTTCTTTTCTTGTCTTTTGAGACAGAGTGCTATCACATCTAGCTTGGCATCTTGTGAGATAATATGCATGTATGTTTGTGTTTACCAGGGATTGAACCCTCATAGTTTTGCATTGAGCTATGTCCCCAGTCTTTTTTTTAAAAAAAATTCTTGAGACAGGATCTTGCTAAGTCTCTAAATTTCCCAAGTCAAACTTAAACTTTTGATCCTCCTGCCTCAGCCTCTCAGAGTACTAGAATTATAGGTATGTACCATCATTCCTGCCCTGCATATCTGTTATTTAAGTTGCACTGTTTGTGGTACTTTGTTACCACAACTAGCAAACTAGGTGCATTATTTGTGGTACATCTTTACCACAACTAGCAAACTAACATAATTTTCTATCAAAATGACTAGATGATTTGGGGGGGGGGGTACTGGGAATCAAACTCACAACCTTGCACCTACCATGCAAGCACTTGAACAACTGAGCTAAATCCCCAGCCCTAGATTTTGAGTTTTAACCAGTTGTGAATTTGCATAATTTCTTACTGAGTACAGTAATTATTCACATATGGAATTTGAGACTATTTCTGAGTATTTAAAATTATTTCAAACTTGATAGCCTTATTTAATTTGAGCTCAGAAGCAAAATTCTGTTAAGTTTCCAGATCAGCCTAGGGTTTAAAATTTGAATGACTGATTGATTTTGCAGTGTGGGGATTGAACTCAGGGTCTTCACACTGAGATATATTCACAGTCCTCCTAGACAAGATTTCACCAAGGTTCTCAGGCTGGAACTTGCTATCTGCCTCTGTCTCACAGAGGGCTGGGATTACAGGTGCTTGGTATCATACCAAGCTCAGCCTAGATTTTACTATGCATGGAATGTCTGAAAGAATACTGCCTATGTGGATGGATTTTAAGTTTTTTCCCTTCCCAATTTTCTCCTGGCTTGGCTTCTCAGTGTCTTCTTCCCTCCCTCACTGAGCAGAACACTGGTGAGTGTGGCAGCACAGGAAGCCAGTGTGTGCAGCTGTCAGTCCAGTCTGTGTGCACTATAGTTCTGACCTTTAACTGTGTAACTTTGGGCAACTTTTGTGAGCTCTCAGGCCTCTGCCCTGTCATCTGCAAAGCTGGTTCCATATTATATGGGGACCTGTGTCACGGGGTTCTCATAATGACTAAATGAGTTATACTTATAAAAGTTTTATAGAAGTATCTGCACAAGGTGTTTGCTACATAACTGAAGATAAAACACCACTAGATACTAAAATTAAATTGAGAGAGAAAAGCATTACTAATTTTTGCCATTAGGAAATTACAATCAAGTTAGAAGCATATGAAACTCCTTAGAATTATGAAGTCTCACTGAAAATCTTAGACACTTTTTTACAGACAAGAAGAGATGCAGGCCAGGCATGATGGTGCATGCTTGTAATCTCAACACTCAGGAAGCTGAGACAAAAGGATCTGCCATGAGTTGAAGGCTGCCCTGGGCTACATAGTGAATTGAAGGCCTACCTGAACTACATAGTGAGATCAACAACAACAACAAAAAAAAAAAAAAAAAAAAAAAGCAAGAGAAAAGAAAGAGAAGCAGACTATATGAACCTAGCCTTCAGCCTGAAACTATTCGCCCACTCCTATTTACTGAGCATATTCCATGCACTAAACAGACCTGGGAACCGGACAGACCAGGTCTCTGTGTGGGAATCCAGAGAGAAGGTGGCCTGGAGCAGAAGGAGGTTGACTTTGGCAGTTCCTAAGAAGGATGTCAAACCAACATTGCGTGACACAGTGCTATTCCACCAACTTCCCTCAGCAAAGAAAAATTCTGCTAGAGATCTATGATCAGTTCATTTCTTAGCTATTTGAAGTCATGACACACTTTTGTTCTGACTTTCATCATCTCTGTTAGGAAGAAGGGGCAGAGGAAATTTTACTGGTTAATCTCCTCCTTACTCTCCCCTACCGGGCCTGGCCTGTGCAGGTCGCTGGCTTTAGGAGTACACGGAGCCAATCAAGCTGGAGATCTCTCAGGAGACCCTCAGTCCCTAAGACCCAGCCCCGCGGGTACCCTCTGCTGGGAGACACGTAGATGACAGGCTATCTACAACCTAGAAAGAGATGAGAAATCCCAAATGGCAGACTTGCTGGACAAACAGTAGAAGCAAAACAGGAAGCAAGTATATAATTTAAGAACTAAAGTGTGAAAATTACTGTGCTTCTTTGGATTCACTTGAATTACATTTTGTTTGCTTTCTTTTAAAACATTTTTCTACTGGAAATATGGATAAGGCATTTTTATATTTCTTCATTTATTAAATAGTAAGTTGGGTTTTAGAAATTACTGCTCATAATTGAGAATAAAAAAAGAAAGAAA